ACGGTGTGCAGAATGTGTAGCGCACCACATGGTCTTAAAGGGGCGCGTTAAATGTTGACCAATAAGAGAAAGAACGTGACACACGATAGCATCACGGAGCAGCATATAGCGAAACCCGTATACCAACACAGCTGAGTATAGTGCGTCGCGCGTAAGAGAGTACACCATGCCATAACTAACCATACTAAAACAGATTAAACAATTGCTTCCACACAAAACAGAGTGTCCCGCGTCGCGTCCGCCACGAATGGCGGGACCTTGCAAATCAGACAACCCAAAAGGGAAAGCGTCACGCCATCACGCCGACCTTAAGAAGCAAAACGAATCGGCATCAAGAACACATCAATCACTGACAAATAGATCAGAACAAGCAGACTATGACCAAAGAGATCATCACTGAGCACAACCTAGCCGCACATCTCATAGGCACACCAGTTCATAGCACAACGCGTCAGGACATACAGCAACATACTCTGACATGCCACGTCAACTTATAACAAGATAACAAGCACCTTGGCTTCATTTAACAACGCAAGCCATACCATGACATGACGGCGCATGCTGGGGCACAGTAGAACATAGCATAGCAAGAGCGAGTTGCTTTATTGTTTGGGACATGACGGGCGTCATGGCCCCCAGACCGTGACGTAACGCTCCCTCCCAATGCGCTCAAGGCACTGCCGCCGTGCGCATCGGGATCCGCATAGGTGCCCGCATAAGAATCCGAATAGGAGTCTGGTCCGCAATCGTCGTCGTCGTCGCCGCCACCGCCACCGCCGTCGTCGTCGTCGTCGTCGTCGTCGTCGTCGTCGTCGTTGTCGCTCGTCACTCGTCGCTCGTCGCTCATCGTCGTCGTGCGCGAGAACGCGGGTGGAGCATGTTTTTTTGTTTTTCTGGGCCGATGACGGCAATCATCTTGGGGGGGGCGGGGGGGGCAAAAGACGTCGCGTTTCGCGCCGGCGGCGCCTGGGAATCCCTTGGAATAACCGAGGACGGGTAGCAGCTGCATGTCGGTGGCGATCTGCACCGCAACGCCTGTGTACACCACAGTGCCTGCTTGCACCACAGCGCCTGTATACACCACACCGCCTTTGTACAACACAACAGCCGCGTGCCGTGCGACACACCGCCAGTGCGTGCCACAGTGCCTGCTGGCACCACAGCGCTTGTGTACACCACAGCGCATGCGTACACCACACCAGCCGTGCGCGATACAGCGCCAGTGTACACCACAATGCCTGCGTGCACTACGGCGCCTGTGTACACCACGGCGCATGCGTGCACCACAGCAACCGTGTGCAACAAAGCACCACTGTTGTATATAGAGTGGCATAGGGATCCTTATGACCAAATGGGGCGCCTGCAGCTTCAACAGAAAACAAATGTTTTACACAGGATTTGGAAAAGAACCGCTCTGGAACAGAAAAAGCGCCGCTGGAATCTACGAGTCCTCTGGAATCCGCCCGCATCATCCTGACTCCTCCCATCTGCGTCCAGGAGGCTCCAACTAAATTGGCCGTCCGAGAACCAAGTGGACTGATTCAATAGACCATTCTGCGGTGCACGCTAAGATGCGCACGTGCGCTGCAGCGCCGACCCGCACGACAGGGGGGAAGGGTGGAGGAGGAGGAGGAGGAGGAGGGAGGAGGAGGAGGAGGAGGACGAGGAGGAGGAGAAGGCAGAGGTGGGGGAGGGAGGAGGGAAGAACATCCCATTCTATTATCAGCACTTCCCTGGCGTGGAGTTTAGCCGTCCGCAGCAGATCCTCACCGACATGGTCCTTCTACCTGTCCTGTGCACGCAGGCACTCTGGTGTACACCAGCACTACGTTGCACGCGGATGCTGTGGTGTAGACAGGCGCTGTGAGGTGCACAGGCGCTGCGGTGCACGTAAGCATTGTGGTGTAGACAGGCGCTGTGTTGCACATGGCCGCTTTGGTGTATACATTCGCTGTGGTGTACACATTCGCTGTGGTGTACACCGGTGCTGTGGTGCACGCAAGCACTGTGGTGTACACAGGCGCTGCGCTGCACACGGCTGTTGCGGTGTACGCAGGCCCTGCGGTGTGCACAAGCGCTGTTGTGCAAGCGAGCACTGTGGTGTACACAGGCGTTGTGGTGCAGGTCGCCACCTACATGCTGCTCGCGTCGTCGTCGTCGTCGTCGCTCGTCGCTCGTCGCTCGTCGCTCTCCGTCGTCGTGCGCGCGGGCGCGGCTGTGGTGCCGGCGTTACGTCATAACCCCCCCGGCCCCCCCCCACTATGACGCCCGTCATCGCCGAAAATAAAGAAACGCGCTCCAACAGCTAGTCGATATTCCCCACAACTGGTTCCACCACGGCAACGGTTCCATTAGAACATGCAAGAATACAACATTAATCGATGGGAACATCAGAACACCAGATAACACAACACAGTCCAACTAACCTAGCACATCACAACGTGGCATAGCATGGCAGGGCAGATCACACCATACCATAGCATGACAGAACATAACATACCATAACACTGCAATCCATACCCCGTCACACCATACGTTTTTCGAAAACTTGTTTGTGGAAAAAGACATTCGGTAAACAAAAGCATTATGTGACAGAGCGGGACGTGAAATATGAACCATAGCAGGACACGAGAGCGCACCATAACTGCTTACCTGCTACTGCAACGACCTCGAGTACGATATCACATACTCGCCTTACACAAAGCTGAGCTGCAATCACATTGGACAACACATCATGCCATAGTACAGTGCACCGAATAACCGCATATGTTACAGCAGAATAGAGAAAAGAGAGTGATATACACTTCGATGCAATAATACTTCTTAGAACATTGGGGTGGGGAATATATCTGGCAATTTCAGGCCATAGCAAGTGATAGCACCACAACTACCAACACATACATAACACAACATACATGCACGACACTGTCGTATCATAGACTCGTGAAAGCTGCAAGGACAATCAAAAGAAGTGCGAATATTAGCACAAATGCCCAAGATCATATACAAGCCAAGTTTGCAGACACATGAACGATATACCCGAACACAAACGGACACTTCATATTTCAACAACAAATCGAATAACACGCACCCTGAAGTAATTGATTCGAGGACCTAATGTATTTATATATATATATAAGAGCCGAGCGTAACACAACCTAGCAGGACAACTTGTAACACTAGCATAAAAATGTGTTACATGACGCAATACCATGTATACATCAGAACCCAGAAACGAGCACTGCTGAGTATAACAGAATAGGACATATCACCAAGCGGTCAACGGCTAGACGTAAAACGCGGGCAGACGTAACACCGGCCACATGAAAAACAGGCGCACCAACGACCGATCAGACGACGCATCAAACGTGGCAGGTGTGACGACGTCACGCCGGCCCGTCTAGAATAGAACATAACATCATATATGATAAGAGCACATAACATAATGGAATTGAACATCGTTGAAGACTGAAACATTCGGGCCGACGTACAGCTGGCCAGAGGAACAAACAGGCGCAATAACGACCGATTAGACGATCTATAAAACGCGACAGACGCTACAATGTCATGCTGACCCGTCGAAAGCACGACAGAACAAACCATAGGCGCACAGAAGAAAACAGAAACGAACACAACGTGATAGAATAATGTGCAGCAGCTACCCACTAATAGCGCCTTAGCACAGGCGACATGCGCACCGAGCTCACGCTGGCCACAATCTAAAACAGTACCAGACTCGGGAACAAATGGCGAAGGAGAAGCAGAAGATGTGTTTGACCTGGACGGCGGGGGTGCCAGCGTATTGCCTGCTGTGCGCAGGGCCACCACCCGTCACAAAAACAATACAAAGCGCACTTCGCGGCTCAATCTGAATCATGCGCAGCCACCCCGCGATCACTGTCCACTGGTTTTTGACAGACGGTGGGGGTGCGGTGCTGGCACATTGCCTGCCGTGTGCAGGCCCACCAGGCACCATAATGGCACCCCGTCGGATTGCGCATTGGTTTTCGACAAGGATGGTGGGGGCCGACATGCTTCCCGATGTGTGCTGTCACGCGCGCGGGCGCATCTGACACACTCGGCGCGTGCCCTGAACGAGGCGCACATGGCGCGGCTGGAGCATGCGGCATACGTAGAGCGCAAGGAGCACGTGGCATATCTGGCGCGCCAGGCGTGCCTGGCACGCTCGGGCCCCAGAGGTGCCCGGAGCACCTGGCGCGCCTGGCACGCGTGGCGCACATCGCCCCAGCGTCTCGCACATGGGGTCTCTGCTGCTTCCCAGTAGCTGTCCATCCACAGGCGACTGCTGAACATGCTGAGGGCTCGGGTGCTGCTTACGTGTTGGGGGAGGGCGTGTGGGAGTGAGCGAGACGGCTTGCGGGTGGGAGTGAACTTGACCCCTCCCCCTACCCTCTCCCCCTCCAACCTGGACGGGGATGGGTCGCAGCAAGCATTGAATTCCCGTGGGTTTAAGAACAACTGTGGCATGATGGGGGCCACGCTGTTGCAGGACCCCTCCCCCTGTGTTTGATCGATAGCCTCCCAAATGGCACCAAGACTGCCCGGGCCCGAAAAGCCCTCAGGAGAGCTCCAAGAAGCCCCCCAAGGGCCCCCCAGTGGCACCAAGAGGCTCGAAGATGCCCCCAAGAGCCAGCAAAAGTCCTTCAAGACGCCCCAAGATGCCTCTAAGAGGCCCTCAAGAGACACCCCACGAAACGCAAGGAAGCATCCAAGGAGCCTCTGGTCCACATAGGCCCCTGATATCTCCAAATGATGCGATGCTCGCCAGTTCAGGGCAGCTCCTCTCTGGGCATCGTGTCTGGATGGGCTGGTGGGGATACGCGAAGCGTTCATCCTTCGCTTTGTGCGAGGAGGACTGGCTGACTAAATTCACCAGGGCCGCCCAAATTGATGTTCAGAAGCAAGCGGGGAAGATATTTGGGTGTCAGTTGTATGCAGGTGGTATGCAGGTGGGTGAGTACACATGGGTGGTAATTTTTGGCGGGTGGGTGAGAATGCTTTGGTTGCAGTTTCAGGCGAAGCACCTCCGTACCGACGTGCCCACCGTGCCCAACATATTGGGAGACGCCTCGGCGGCATTAGTCCATGCGGATTAGCACCACGGAGCCGTTTCGCAAAATTGCGGCCGCGGGCGGTCTCTGCCCAGCTCGGAATTTCATGAAACGTCTCCGTGGTGCTAACCAATATCGACTAGCGCCACGAAGCCGTCCGATGGAATCAATATGATCGGACAGGGCGCTCAAGCTTGATCCAATGGCCCGCTCACGAACACAATTATGGATCCTGCTGTCGATGCCGTGGATACCAACGCCCTTATCATCACCACTACAGCAGCCACAAACAATATCGCAATCAAACAAGTGTGGTCACCGTCATCATCACTACCGTGGCCACCAGCGTTGGCTGATTAGTTTTTGGTGCAGGCTCATTCGTCTGGCTCGACGTACCACCAGAAACCGCCTCCAGGACTGAGGTGGATGTCGTAGCTGTGCCGCCGTTCGCAAACTGCACGCACACCCCCAAGCGCACGCGGGCCGAAGTTGACCCCGGCCAGGATGCCGCCGGGCTTCACCCGTGCCTCCCACAGCTCCAGATCCTCGGCGGTGCTCTCGAAGTTGTCGCCCGCGGCCAGGACGACGACGTCCAGGGCCCGCGGAGGCGACGCAGCAGCCGCCGCCCCCGAGGAAACGCGGTGCAGAGCCGCTCGGGCGCCAAACTTCGTCAGGCGGCCCACCTCTTGCGAGGGCATGCCGGGCACGTCGGCCTCGGCGCCCGCGCCGTCCCCGAGGATGCCGAAGTACTGCAGGCCCGGGAACTCTTCGAGCAGGGGCGCCGGGTCGACTGCCGCCCCGAGGCCCACGCCCACGAGAGAGGCCGGCCCCCCGAGCAGAACCCGCGCGACGAGCGCCCGGACCATCTCCTGCACCGACCCGTGCTCGTCGTGGAGCACGAACACGGGCGCCCCCCGCCCTGGCACCGCCTGGAGGAGCGGCAAGCTGCCTCAGCACAACAGCTTTGGTGGAGGGCCGCGCGGACTTCTTGGATCGGCGCCGGAGGCGCCGCCAAGGGGCTCCAGCGAGAAGCCCGAAAAGCCCAGGGTGGGCCAAATCCGTTTGGGGGGGGGGGCGCTTTTCTGGGGTCCCCGGCCCTACAATAAATATACATAGGAATATGAATAAATTCAGATATGTATATATATATATATACACATATATATATATATAGGTGTATATATATATATATATATATATATATATATATATATATATACATGCATACTTGTGGATGCCATAACAACAGACACTCTAACAATCCGATCGTTGAATTAAAATTGTGTTTCAAATGTGTTGAACATGTTCTGAACATGTTTCAAACATGTTTTCATATGTTTAAAAACTTGTTGGATTCATGTTCTAGTCATCTGGAAACTATTTGGCAGCACGTTTCCTCTCCATTAATCGACTTCCACACACACACACATATATATATATATATATATATACTAGAACCATCGATCGCGCGCTTCGCGCGCGCCATGGTTCTAGCCCAGGCCGGGGGCGCGCTAGAAGATCTTGGACAGCGCTATCAAGCACAGGCGCGTGACATAGTCGTGCCTCCTGAGGGCCTCTTGGGAACCTCTTGGGTCTTCGTGGGGGCATCTGAAGGGCTTCTGGGGGGTTCTCCGTGCTTCCTCAATTGGCTGTTGGAGGCACCTCTTGGGTGCTTCTCGGGGGGGCATCTTGGGGTTTCTTGAGGTCCCTTGGGGGCATCGTCAGGGTCCTCCGGGCAGTCGGAAAGTGGTGTTGTGCAGTCTCCGAAGCAATCAATTGGCCGACTTGGCTTCGTGGAGGCCCGCCTTGAGGCCACATTGGGGCAATCCGGAAGCCTACAGGGGCCTCCTTGAAGCAATTTTGATGCATCGAGAGCACTGTTCGGCTATCTTGGGGCCTTTGGGGGCCTGGTGGGGGGCTATTGGGGGGCCTCGTCGGACCACTTGGGGACTGTCGGGGCCTCCTGTGGGCCTCTTAGGGCGGAAAGCTCTGCTGTTGGGTTCGCGTTCCCCTTCTTGGAGCTCTCTTGGGGCCCTCTTGGGGCCCTGTCGGGCCGTCTTGGGCGCCTCGGGCACCGTCTTGGGGCCATAGTGGGCCGTCTCTCTTGGAGGCCTCTTCGGCTATCTTGGAGCGGCCGTGGGGGCCACTTGGGCCGTCTTGGAGCGTCGGGATGCCAAAAGGCTGGGACCTCAAAAATCCATCAAAGGCAGATGGGAAAACAATGCTTCTGGAACCTCTTCGGGCTTCTGGGGAGCTTCTTCAGGGCCTCTGGGGTCCCACTTGGGGGCCTCTGGGGCTTCCTGGGAGGCCCTCGGGGTGAAGGCTCGGATTTTCGGTACGTCTTACCCCTCTTGGGCCCCCCATTGGGGCCGTATTGGTGCCCTCTCGGGCTGTCTTGGGCCCTGTTGGAGGCCTCTTGGGCTATCTTGGATTGGTCTTGGAGGCCTTTTGGGCCTTCTTGGAGCGTCAGGACGCCCAAAGGCTGAGAACTCGAACGTCAATCAAAAACCTATGGCAAGACATGGGTGTTTGCCTCTTGGGGCCTTCGTGGGAGGCCTCTTGGATACTCTTCGGCCCCCTGGGGGGCTTCTTGGGGCCTCTTGGAGCCTGTTAGGGGCTTCTCGGGGCCTCCTGAGAGCCTCTCGGGGTGGAAGACTCGGATTTTCGGTTCGTGTCAACCCTCTTGGCTCCATCTTGGGGCCGTCTTGGGGCCCTCTCGGGCCGCCTTGCGCGCCTCTGGCGCCGTCTTGGGACCCCCGGGGGCTGTCTTGTGACCGTCGTCGAGGCCTCTAGGGATGCCTTGGAGAAATTAAAACCTCTTGGGCCGTCGTGGAGCGTCAGGAAACTCAAAAGGCGAGAACTCGAAAATCGATCAAGAACCAAAGGAAAACAAATTAGTTGTGCCTCCTGGGGCTCCTTGGGAGCCATCTTGGAGACCTCTTGGGGCGTCTTGGAGGCCTCTTGGACAGTCAGGGACCAATTCTGGGGTGACCGCGGGCGGTCATTGGTCGTTTTCGTTGTCTGGAAACGCCAGGGCCGTCTTCGGGCGACTTTAACAAGGCCCCCAACGCCACGGCAAGGTCCCCAGGCCCCACGGTGCGATGGCTCCGTCCCGGGCCCCGCCTCGTGCCCGCGGTAGGGCGTCCCTGGGCCGTCTCGGCGCCCTCGTGGGGGCCTGTTAGGGCGACATTGTGCGTCTGAAATCCATCAAAAACCAAAGGACAATCAATGATTTTGGCGTCCCTTTGGGCCGTGTTGGAAGCCTTGTGGGCTGTCCGGAGGCCATCTTGGGCGTGTTCGAATGACATGTCCTCGTTTCGGGGCCTCTAGGGGGCCTCTTGCGGCCCTGTTCGTCTGTGTTGGGGCTTTCTTTTGCCGTCTGGGGGCGGCCCTGGTCTGTCTCGGCGCCCTCGTGGAAGCCGGGCCTCTTGGGACTTCCCGAGAACCTCTCGGGGTAGAAAGCTCGGATTCTCAGTTCGTGTTTCCCTTCTTGGGCCTCTCTTGGGGCCGTCTTGGGGCCCTCTCGGGCCTTCTTGGGCGCCTCAGGCACCGCCTTGGGGCCCTCGTGGGCCGCCCAGGGCACTCTTGGAAGCCTCGTCGGCTATCTCGGAGCTGTCTTGGAGGCCTCTTCCTCCTCCTCGTCCCCCTCCTCCTCCTCCTCCCACTCCAGCTCTCTCTCCTCCTGATCTTCCTCCTCCTCCTGCAGCGTGTTCAGGAAGGCTCCCGCCGGAACATGCTGTGCACCAGTGCTGTCACTGCTCCCGCCACAGTGCCCTGGGTGGTGGGTCAGAGGCCTCATGGGTATTGGTGATCTCGTGGTTGGCCTGTCGGGGACGTCGGGAAGGCAGTTTCGCAGCTTCTCGGTAGCCGTTTTGGGACCGTTGTGGGGCCTCCTCGGGGCAATTGTGTGGCCTCTTTAGGCCTCGTTTGGGCCTCCTGGGTGCCTCTTGGGGGCCGCCTGGGGCCTCTTGGGGGCTCCTTGGGGCCTCCTGGGGCACTCTTCAAGCGGGAGGGTCAAACTTTGGAGTCGTGGTCCCCCTCTTGGGCGCATCTTGGGGCCGTCTTGGGGCTATGTTGGGCTGTCTTGGGCGACTCTGGGGCCGTCTTGGGGCCCTCTTGGGCCGTCTTGGGGCGCTCTTGGGGGCCTATTGAGCCGTCTTGGAACGTCGGACAGCCGAAAAGGCTGGAAGGCCAAAATCGTCCGACAACCTTCGTAACATTGACGATTTCGGCCTCTTGAAGCGCTCTGGGGAGGCGTCTTGAAGCGTCGTGGAGTGCCTTGGGGGTCCTCTCGGGCCGTCTTGGGCCTATCTCGGGCGTCCTGGAGCGGTCTTTCGGCGACTCGGGGCCCGCTTGGGCCGTCTTGGGAGCCTCTGGAGGCCCTCCTGGACTATTTTGGGCCTCCCCAGCCGCCCTGTCCCCCCACGGGGGGTCGGAGGCTGCCTCCGAGGCCCAGGACGCGGAAACCCTGTAAAAACACATGGAAAATGAGCCCCGGTACTCCCATGCCCCCTCGGGGCAGCCGCCCTGGGCGCCCGGGCGTCGTGCACGGGAATATGTATGTATGTATATATTATTATATATATATACATATATATATATATATATATATATATATATATATTCATACATACACATATATGTATACATATACATATACATATACATATGCATAAAATGCATATATATGTATGTATGTATGTATGCTGATATTGATATTGTTATATATATATATATATATCATTGATCTATCTATATACATACATATATATATATATATAGATGTATGTAAATACTTCTAAATATGTATATATATATATATATTTATATATGATCGTAGATCCTTATAAGAAGCCCCCCCGTACATAATTTCGGCCTTGGGGGCTCCCACCGGTAAATTCAAATTGTCTGTTCCACCTCGCCCCTCCCGGCCATCCCAAGCCGCCAAAGAAGGCCCACGATCGCTTCCCGGACGGTCCCGCAAAGAACCGAAACGGCCCAAGACCGCACCAGAACGTCTAAGCTGGTCTCAGGACGGCCCAAAATGCTCCCAAGACGCCTCACGAGAGCCCGAAGATGGCCCCCAAGAGGGTCCCAGACGCCCAAATCCTGGAATTTTCCATAGGTTTTCGATCGATTTGAACGTTCTCGCTTGTTCAAGCTTCCGGCCGCGCAAGACGGCCCACGAAGCCCCCAAGATCGCCACAAGACAGCCAAGTGGCACTCAAGAAGGCCCCAAGACGGCCCAAAGGGCCCCCAAACGCCCCATAAGGGCCCCAAGACAACCTGAGAATCCCCGCAATACCGCCCACGAGGGCCCCAAGAAGGACAACCCGAAGTGTCATTTCAAGGTTTTCCCCCCAACATAGCCCCGGAGACAACCCAGCAGCCCCCAAGGCGCCCCCTGAGGCCATCAAGAGGCCCCAAGAGGCCCCCAAGAGGCCCCCAAGAGGCCCCAAGGCGTTTTCAAAAGACCACCGGGGGAAACCCCAAAAATGCTTCAATGATCTGATCTCGGGGGCCCCCAAGAGACCCCAAGAAGTCTCCCGAATAGGCTCGTACAAGCCTCTCACGTTCCACAGTTTCAGAGGCCCCACGGGCCCCGCACGTTACGCAGGTCCGACAGGCCCCATGGATCTTGCAGGCCCACTATGCCCCACAGGTCTCGCAGGTCCCACAGGCCCCGCAAGTCCCACACGTCCCAAACATCCCGCAGGTCCAAAAGGTTCCACAAGTCCCACAGGCCCCACATATGTCGAAGTCCCCACAGTTCCCTTAGGTACTACAGGTGACACAGGCACAGGTCCAATAGGTCCCACAGGTCCAACAAGTTCCAGGTCTTACAGGTCTCGCATGTCTCGCAAATATCGCAGGTTCTCCAGGTCCTGCAGGCCTTACTGGTCCCGCGAACCCAACAGGATAACAGGTC